AAGACTCTAGTTTGGTGGGTGGGGTGGTGGGTGGGTGGAGTGGTGGGGTGGGGGTGGAGTATAAGACTACCAGTGTGTGTGTGTTGGTCATTGAACGTACTGTGAGAAGACCAGCCCTTTGTTTTAGTCTTGTAAGCGACCTCTTCCATGTTTACACAGTTCGCGTTTATGGTGATACATGCCACTACTACCACAATTAAACCACCACTACTACCACAATTAAACCACCACTACTACCACGATTAAACCATAACTACTACCACGATTAAACCACAACTACTACCACAATTAAACCACCACTACTACCACGATTAAACCACCACTACTACCACGATTAAACCACAACTACTACCACAATTAAACCACCACTACTACCACAATTAAACCACCACTACTACCACAATTAAACCACTACTACCACAATTAAACCACCACAACTACAACAATTAAACCACCACTACTACCACAATTAAACCACCACAACTACCACACAAGCACCATCTTCAGTCTCCTTAAATTGCATAATTGTTCCCATAGGACCGAGTAAAGAGCCTCTCTCTCTCTCTCTCTCTCTCTCTCTCTCTCTCTCTCTCTCTCTCTCTCTCTCTCTCTCTCTCTCTCTCTAGACAGGAGCCAGCACCTTCCTGTAGGTAAACTCTCACCTTTTAATGCGGCTCCTTGACTCACCTGAAATATCTCCTGAAGGTGTAATTGTTATGGTCTGGGGAGGAGCTGTGTGATGTGAGAGAGAGAGAGAGAGAGAGAGAGGGGTCATAGTGTTAAATAATGGGGGGGTCGGACAGGTGGTAGACTAGACCAACACCTTGTCTCTGGTGTCAGGGTTCGAGGATGCCACTACTCAGCCTCCGTCAGTTACAGGGTGTCACTACTGCGCCTCCGTCAGTTAAGGTGTTAGTACTGAGCCTCCGTCAGTTACAGGGTGTTACTACTGCGGCTCCGTCAGTTAGGGTGTTACAACTGCGCCTCCGTCAGTTACAGGGTGTTACTACTGCGGCTCCGTCGGTTAGGGTGTTACAACTGCGCCTCCAGCCAGTTGGGGTGTCCGCTACTACGCCTCGTCCAGTTACAGATGTTGCTACTGCGCCTCCGTCAGTTACAGGAGTGTTACTGCGCCTCCGTCGGTTACAGGGTGTCAGTCACTACTGCGCCTCTGTCGCTACCATCGACAGTGTGACGCCTCTGATAAAGTTTATGGTGATCTCAGGGTGTTAGGGCGTCCAGGGGTGAGAGAGAGAGAAATTAGTCATTCAAATTTATCCATTTCTGTCCCCAACAACGCCAACAAAACCGCTTCTGATTTCATTTTTTTCGTTTTTTTCTCGTTTTTTCTCGATTATTTTCGTTTTTTGTGGTGACCTTTAACCTTAACTCGTCCGTCACTACACAGCGGCAGCACCACCCGCGGGAGGAGGTGAAAGGTCGCCACAAACACCTTTTGGGGCCACACTAGAGTCTTCGGGGCGCCTATGGTAGAAAGGTACCGCTCTTCCCTTGATTCCCTGGCCGGTGGAAAAGTTGTTTGGACACACTTCCTAGCCCTCATTGGTCCCTGTTCACCTGGCAGTAATGTACAGTAGGTATCAGCTGTAAATCGAAAGTTACGAATTTGTATTCAGGGAAAGTTTTTGAAGCTTCCAATAACTTGATGACATAAAACCATTGACTCTTCAGGTTTCTACGCCCTTGACTCATGAGACATAAAGGCAAGGATGAACTAAGCATGCTTCCCTGTTGGGCGCTGTAAACGCTTCTGCGCTTCACCTTACACAGGACGGAGAGAGAGAGAGAGAGAACTTGTGGCCTTATTATGTATCGTAAGCGATTCGTGGTCAGGCAGGGTCACAGGGGGGAACTATAAGGTCAGCGTGGGTCAAGCATCACCTCTTACCCCCTCTCCTCACACCTTTCCTTTCACCCCTCTCACTCACCCCTCTTTCCTTCCCCTCACCCTTCACCACTCACCCTCCCCCAAGATGTAAAATTCATGCCTGGGTGAGAAGAGCCGCCTCCCACCCAGCAGCAAGCCAGCCCACACGCCCTCCTCGCTCTCCTCCTCTTCCCCTCCTCCTCCTCCTCCTCCTCCTCCTCATCAATACACAATACCTACCTTTTCCTCCCACATTTTTCCCCCAATTTGCCGTTTTTTCCTCCCTTCCATTTGACTTTTTTCCTTTCTTTCCTTCCACTTTTTTTTTATTTCCTTCCACTTTTTTTTTATTTCCTTCCAATGACTTCTTTCCCTCGTTCCTCTTTTTTTTAACTATCTAACCTAACCTAACCTAACCTAACCTAACCTAACCTAACCCCATATATTAAACGGTCACTATAAACTGAATGATGTCTGTTTACTGATCACTGAGCAGGAAGGGGTAGAGTGATCTTCAACAGGTGATTAGGCTACAGGTGACCTCTAACAACAGGTGATTAGACTATAGGTGACCTCTAACAACAGGTGATTAGACTATAGGTGACCTCTAACAACAGGTGATTAGACTATAGGTGACCTCTAACAACAGGTGATTAGGCTATAGGTGACCTCTAACAACGGGTGATTAGGCTACAGGTGACCTCTAACAACAGGTGATTAGGCTACAGATGACCTCTAACAACAGGTGACCTCTAACAACAGGTGATTAGACTATAGGTGACCTCTAACAACGTGTGATTAGGCTACAGGTGACCTCTAACAACAGGTGATTAGGCTACAGGTGACCTCTAACAGCCTCTATCACCTGATGTTTACTGTGTTGGTACTGTGTGGAACACATTTGATGGGGGGGGTACTTGATCCTCTCTCTCTCTCTCTCTCTCTCTCTCTCTCTCTCTCTCTCTCTCCTCTCACCTTGTCTCCCGCTCTCAATGTCCTCCTCCTTCACCCCACCCTCTCCCCTCTCTTTCCCTCACCCACCCTGTCCCTCTCCCCTCCCCTCCCTCTCTCTCCCCTCACCACCCTGTCCTCTCCCTCCTCCCTCTCTCCCTCACCCCTCCCTCACCCCTCCCCTCCCTCCCTCTCTCCCTCACCCCCCCTCCCTCACCCCCCTCCCTCCCTCACCCTCCTGAAGAATCGGGTCTTTGTAGTTTGTCTTTAACGAGGGAGCGTCTGTTTTGAACCAGACAACAGAGAGCCAGGTACCTCAGAGCCACCTGTGTCAGGACCAGGTACCTCAGAGCCACCTGTGTCCAGGACCAGGTACCTGGGGCTCACCTGTGTCAGAGCCAGGTACCGCCAGGAGCCACCTGTGTCCAGGACCAGGTACCTCCAGAACCCACCTGTGTCAGGACCAGGTACCGCAAGAACCACCTGTGTCAGAACCAGGTACCGCAAGAACCACCTGTGTCAGAACCAGGTACCGCCAGAGCCACCTGTGTCAGAACCAGGTACCGCCAGAGCCACCTGTGTGAGGACGAAGAGCCAGCTAGAGCCACCTGTAGAGCGCGGGGTGGTCCATCCCCTTTAGCGATCAATGGTCTGGTGGGCCACGAGGACTGGCTCTCTGGCTGTTGGTTCGTGCGTCGGTTTCGGGGGTTGGCGGGGCTCTGTTGACACCCCACCCCCCTCCGCCACGCTCACGGGGTTATTATGTTCAAATTCCCTTTAATTGGAGTCGTGAGAATGCATTTAAATGGCTTCAAAATCACACAGGGACTTGAACCGTAGTTGAATGTCTTTCGTATTCCGTCCGAGTTACGGTTAGGAGAGGAAATTAACTAAAGGGTGATTGAGAGTCAGGAACCAAGGCCGCTGTCTGGCTCAACTCTCACCGTATGGTATGTCGACAACACCTAATATAGCCAATGTTAAAAGAGTTAAAAGAGCCTTTAAATTTAGGAATATAACGACTAGGTAAATTATAAAACAATTATAAAAGATGATTACAATTAAGATAAACAATAAAATAGTCCACTCTAAGAAATGTCGATAGTATAGGAAGTTGTATAAGCGGGAGATGTTGTAACAAAAACAGAATAGCATCATCAACCTGGCACCAACCGGGTCTTCTCCACTACTTGAATCCTTATTAATTATTTCATTATTTTCCTTCAGTTTAAAAGATTTACTTAGAGTTTCGTACCGATATTTAAGTTAGTGGTTAGTTTAGTGTTAATTAGATTAGTTAGTGATTAGTGTAAGGGTGAGTCAAATTTTTGTACTGCCCAGAATTTGTCCAGTAGTGTCATAATATTGCCCCTCCCCTTGTCTTTCTCCCTCCCTCCCTCCCTCCCTCCCTCTTTCTCCCTTCCTCTCTCTCTCTCTCTCTCTGTCTTTTCTCCCTCCCTCCCTCTTCCTTAACTCCCTCAGTACTCCAACACAAAGGAACCACCTCAGTAGACGGTCGATGGATATTGAATAGGTTCACGCACACACACACACACACTCACACACTCACACACTCACTCTCTGAATAGCTTTGCTGTGTGTGTGTGTGTGTGTGTGTGTGTGTGTGTGTACGCCTAATAACTCGCTGCTTGTTGCTAGTAATAATTAGTCTTGCATGTTACCAAAATGTACATCCAAAATTGACCACCGGTTGTACAATTAAATCAACCCATTTTGTACACCGTAATTGACTTAGGTTGTACACTGAAAGCTACCATGATTGCCCAGCGGAATGTACTAAAGTTTTAAGCTTGAATAAATTACCATGTAAAATTACAGCTCGAGGTAGAACATAAGAATGGAGGAAACTGCAGCGGGCCTGTTGACTCATACTGGGCCTATTGACTCATACTGGGCCTATTGACTCATACCGGGCCTATTGACTCATACTGGGCAGTCCCATTTACACCCAACCCCTATCGCTCATATATGATTCTTGCTTTTATTATAATTATTATTATTATTATTATTATTATTATTATTATTATTATTATTATTATTAAAATATTGTTATTAGTATTGTTATTATTATTATTATTATTATTATTATTATTATTATTATTATTATTATTATTATTATTAAAATTACATAACAGCTCAAATGAAGAGAGACTATGATGGTGGCAGCGAACGTTTCCATAACAACAAGAAAAGTTTCCATGACAACTTGAAACGTTTCCATGACAACTTGAAACGTTTCCATGACAACAAGAAAAGTTTCCATAACAACAAGAAAAGTTTCCATGACAACTTGAAACGTTTCCATGACAACAAGAAAAGTTTCCATGACAACAAGAAAAGTTTCCGTGACAACAAGAAAAGTTTCCATGACAAGAAAAGTTTTATTACGATTTTTATTTTTTCCTATGATGACAGCGGAGGTTTTATTTGTTTTATTCTAAAGAAAATAAAGTTTTTTCCCACATCCGTCTATTCGTCCGTCCGTCCGTCCGTCCCTCGTGAAGGACTATGCTGACGTCATTGCCTCAAATCCATCCTCTACCCTGACCTCACCTGATAATTAAGGTCAGGTTGGGTTTGGTTAGGATCTGGTTTGGTTTGGTTAGGTTTGGTTATTATACCCAGCTAATGAATGTTTAAACTGACTTAACTATCATAGATCACTCTTGTCTCTGCAGTAGAGGATGTAAATGGTGGTGGTATTTGTAAATTGAAAAAGAAAATGTAAAAGAATTAAAATCCTTTATAAATTAATAATCAAAGTTTGTAAATGGAAAAACAAATACAGGAAGTTGTAAATTGAATTGATTTTTTAGGTGATGTAAATAGAAGACAAATGCACGTCGCAAAATATCGAATTGGATTTCATTTACTTTATACATTTTACTTGTTCTTTTGTTTTTTATATATACTTTTATTCACTCATTTAGTTACTTATACATTTTACTTGATGTTCTTTTGTTTTTATAGATATTTTTATTTACTCATTTAGTTACTTATACATTTTACTTGATGTTCTTTTGTTTTTTTATATATACTTTTATTTACTCATTTAGTTACTTATACATTTTACTTGATGTTCTTTTGTTTTTATAGATATTTTTATTTACTCATTTAGTTACTTATACATTTTACTTGACGTTCCTTTGTTTTTTATATATATACTTTTATTTACTCATTTAGTTACTTATACATTTGACTTGACGTTCCTTTGTTTTTATATAGATACTTTTATTTACTGTGTTTATCTTTAGGTTTTAATTCACACGACGGGAGCAGATGATCGCCACAACAGGCAGAAAGCAAGCAAACGAAAGAGCTCTCGGGTGGCGGGCGTAGTTGAGGTGTTTTGTTTTTTATTTTAATGTTTTTGTTGTGGAGTGAAGGGTTTGACGCCTCACACCTGACGTATATTCTGGCCCATGTGTAATTGTTGGAGGGACAAGTGACAGATACTGTTTGTTGTTGTGTGTGTGTGAGAGAGAGATGACAAAGGGAAAATATGAGAGACGAAAACGAGCAGACAAAGGCAGACAGACACACAGACAGACAGGCAGACAGACAGACACACACACAGACAGACAGACACACAGGCAGACAGACACACAGACAGACAGGCAGACAGACAGGAAAACCTACTGTACATTATATTATTTATGGCCTTAAATGTGTAATATAAAGCCTCATAAAACAGTTGAAGTGTTTTATGGAAGGAACAAAAAAAACAGAGCCTTTGTTACCGTACTGAAATGTGTGTGTGTGTGTGTGTGTGTTAATTCTTTATGGATCTTATAATGGATCTTCTCTCTCTCTCTCTCTCTCTCTCTCTCTCTCTCTCTCTCTCTCTCTCTCTCTCTCTCTGCTTTCTTTCAACTTTCTCTAAAACTTTCCCCACCTCTGAGGTTTAATGTGGTTTACTTGAAGAATATAAACTTGTTTTTGTTTTAAGAGTTGATGGTGAAGACTTAAAACAACAAGAGGGTTTAATTGTTTTATTATTATTATTATTATTGTTATTATTATTATTATTATTGTTATTATTATTATTATTATTATTATTGTTATTATTATTATTATTATTATTGTTATTATTATTATTATTATTGTTATTATTGTTATTATTGTTATTATTGTTATTATTATTATTATTATTATTATTATTATTATTATTATTATTATTATTGTTATTAATTGTTATTATTATTATTATTATCATTATTATTATTATTATTATTATTATTATTATTATTATTATTATTATTGCTATCTCTTTGTTCGTTTTTCCTGGGGGAGAGTTGGTTAGGTTAGGTTAGGTTAGGTTAGGTTAGGTTAGGTTAGGTTAACATTAAAATACACTAGCCTTAGGGGGGTCTAATCTTCACATGAATCATTATTATATCCTAACTCTCCACCTATCTCTTGTGGCCCAACACTATTTCAGGGTTGTTTAAATTTTTCTGAACGTGAGGCTTTAACCCGTCCGTAATCAGCTTATCATACAGCTTATTACACGATAGCTTATCAGACGACAGCTTATTACACGACAGCTTATCAGACGACAGCTTATTACACGACAGCTTATCAGACGACAGCTTATTACACGACAGCTTATCAGACAGCCACCTAAGGACATGATTCATAAAGCCTCGTACGTTAAAAATCACGGACGGATGCGTAAAATTAACTAATTTTTACGATACTAAGTTGGTTAGGTTAGGTTAGGGTTAGGGTTAGGTTAGGTTAGGTTAGGCTAGGTTAGGTTAGGCTAGGTTAGGTTAGGTTAGGTTAGGTTAAGATTAGGTTAGGTTAGGTTAGGCTAGGTTAGGCTACAGAGTTAGAGTTAAAAGATTAAGATTAGGTTAGGATAGGTTAGGTTAGGTTAGGCTAGGTTAGGTTAGGTTAGGTTAGGTTAGGTTAGGTTAGGTTAGGTTAGGTTAGGTTGGTTTATCTATGATATTAAAGAGAGAATCTGATTGGTTCTTAAGTTAAATTCTGTCTCCTCTCTTCCTTCCTTCTGATGGGGTCTTGAGAGAGAGAGAATATTACAACACGCACACAGGTACACACACACACACACACACACACACACACACACACACAAGAAATTCCTAAAGATTTTTACTGATGGTCCAAGTTTATATTGGTCGTATTACTAGTCCATTATAAACACATTAAACTGGGCCTCCACTTCCTCCTTCTCCTCCTGCTCTTCCTCCTCCTGCTCCTCCTCTTCCTCCTCTTCCTCCTCCCTCCTCCTCCTCCTCCTCCTTCTCCTCCTCCTCCAGTGGACGTCATGTTTCAGTCACTTAGCGGGCTCACTCTCCCACACACACAGGCTCCCCCTCACCACACCAGAATCCCACACACTCTCTCCACCCAGGCTCCCCTCCCACCACACCCAGGCTCCACCTCTCCCACACCCGGGTTCCACACACTCACCACACCCAGGCTCCACACACATTCACCACACCCAGGCTCCCACACTCATCACCCGGGCTCCACCTCTCTCTCCCACCCAGGCTCCACACCTCCACCACACCCAGGCTCCACACACTCTCCACACAGGCTCCCACACACTCTCCACACCCGGGATCCACACACTCTCCACACCCGGGCTCCACACTCCCTCCCCGGGCTCCACACCTCCCACCACACCGGGCCCCCCTCCACACCGGGCTCCACACACTCCCACCACGGGCTCACACCTCCACCCGGGCTCACACACCTCCACACCCAGGCTCCACACACTCACACACCCGGGCTCCACATTCACCAGGCTCCACCTCTCCACCCAGGCTCCACACACTCTCCACACCAGGCTCCCACACTCATCACCAGGCTCCCTCCCACCACACCCAGGCTCCCCACACTCCACCACACAGGCTCACACTCTCACCACACCCAGGCTCCACACACTCCCCACACCCGGGCTCCACACACTCTCTTAAAAGTTCCTATATTGAATTTTCCTCGTAACTGGACAGGTGTGTTGACAGGTGTGTTGACAGGTGTGTGTTGTTGTTGACTTAAGGTAAAACACAAAAGGAAAGTAATCATCTCAGAATAGCATAAAAATCACACACTGAGACTCTACCTAACTAAGTAACTAAGATATATTATATAAAGAATGACATGACTGTATTTACTGGCAGATATGAATGTAGTTAACATGACGACTTCAGTTAAAACATAAAATAATAATAATAATAATAGTAATAATAATAATAATAATAATAATAATAACAACAATAATAATAATAATAGTAATAATAATAATAATAATAATAATAATAATAATAATAATAATAATAATAATAAAAATAAACTATCTACAAAATTGTGTTGAAAGACTGTAACACAATGCTCGAAGGCTTTTGACAACACTCCCGAGACAACAGGAGTCACAAGTGTTCATTGTGGCAGCCATCGACCCCCCCTCCCCCCTTCCCCCCCCTCCCCTTCCCCCCTCCCCTCCCCCAGTGATGATACTTTTTTGGGCGAGGGAAATTTATTGTTCACAGCGACGCCCACAACACTTTCATGTCTCACGCCCACAACCCTTTCATGTCTCACGCCCACAACCGTTCATGCCTCACGCCCACAACCGTTCATGTCTCACGTCCACAACCGTTCGTGTCTCACGCCCACAACCGTTCATGTCCGCCCACAACCGTTCAAGCCGCCCTCACGCCTAACCGTTCGTGTCTCACGCCCTAACCGTTCATGCCTCCGCCCACAACCGTTCATGTCTCCGCCCACAACCGTTCATGCCTCACGCCCACAACCGTTCATGTCTCACGCCCACAACCGTTCATGTCTCACGCCCACAACCGTTCATGTCTCACGCCCACAACCGTTCATGTCTCATATTAGAAGATTTTTTCCTCACATCAAAAGAAACATGACAAACATTCCAACTTTTTTTAATAATTTTAGAGAAAAAAAAATGAAATTACGTCTGACTGTCGCCTGGGTAGCTGATGACGTCACTCGAGGGATGGAGAAGGAGTGTTGCCAGTGAGACATCTCTGCCTTTTACCTCAGGCTAGATAAGTTCTCTCAGTTCATATGTTAGATGCTGTGCTAGTGCCTTCTATTAGGGGGAGTATCGCTTAACCTGATTGGTTCAGCGATCTTCATCTCCTTATCTACTATTGGCTGGGTTTCCGGCTCTGTGCCTTGATTGGCCAATAATCTGATTGGTCTTTGGTACTTCGTTAAGGGCGCATTGCTTAACTTGATTCGTTGTTCGATTCTTTGTGTATCACCTCCTATTGGTTGTGTTTCTAACTCTGTGCCTTGATTGGTCGACGTAGATTTATCTCCATGATGTAATTGGTCCTTGTTGGGTCATTAAGGGCGTGTCCCGTTACTGGATTGGTTCCTTCGATCCTCATCCCCCAAAACCTGTGAGTTGTATTGGTCGTCGTGTTCTCGCCTTTGATTGGCTGTCTTTCGATCCTCATCCCCCAAAACCTGTGAGTTGTATTGGTCGTCGTGTTCTCGCCTTTGATTGGCTGTCTTCCATTAACTACTTCCCATGATTGGTCCGTCGTCTAGGCCGAGAGGACCAATGCCGTGTGTCCTTTTTGTCGACTAACTTGTGTCGTGGTCTAGTGATGAAAATATTTGAATGAATCCCACAAAAGTTTCCCCATTAGAGAGTACCAGGGACTCTCTTGACCTTTGACCCAACCTTTGACCCAACCTAACCTAACCTCGGTCTCATTAAGGTTATTGCTGAAGGTTTATTAATTTTGTCACGGTTCATTCCAGTATAGTTCCTGGTTTAGCCGCTAGGGGGGGGGGGGTTAGATATGTAAATGTATAATGCATAAATGGTCATTATATCTTGGTTATTATTCACCCTATCCCTTTTATACTGCATTCATGTTTTTCATTCACTAAATCTGAACCACTTCGGATACTCTCGATGTGATTCATACTTTAACACCAGATGGCAGTGTGTGTGTGTGTGTGTGTTTGTGTGTGTGTGTGTGTGTGTGTGTGTGTGTGTGTGTGTGTGTGTGTGTGTGTTTGCTACACAGGGCAGCACCATTACTGCTGGAGGTGTTATGTTGACCAGGTTGCAGGGAGGGGAGCCTGCGCCCCCCCACCCCCTCACTGTGTCAACACTTACTTACACCTCTATAACATTACCTTAGCTACACAACCCTCACCTCTCTCCCTCAATTCCACCTCTCCATCCCTCATCCCTCCTTCCTCTCATCCACACCTGCCCTGAGTGTCAGGTGTGGTGGACTGCGGAAGACTGCAGAGACACACACACACACACACACACACACACACCTCTGACCCTACACACGTGGTCCTCCCTCCTCCCAGGCTACACCCCCTCCTCCTCCAGGCTACACCCCCTCTCCCTCCAGGCTACACCCCTCCCTCCAGGCTACACCCCTCCCTCCAGGCTACACCCCTCCCTCCTCCAGGCTACACCTCCTCCAGCACCCTCCAGGCTACACCCACCCTCCCTCACATTTGTCAGGAAGGATCAACGTGTCGAACGCAGCCCTGATTGTCTCTCTTGCTGGTCGACTGATTCTTCTCCGCCTCATCTTCTTATTCTTCCTCCTCCTCCAGGTAACAGGTCTGGTCTGGTCTGGTCTGGTCTGGTCTGGTCTGGTCTGGTCTGGTCTGGTCTGGTCACATCGGACAGGAAATCACTGTCTTGTCGGCTTCCTGGTGCATAAGAGTCGCGTTAAACCTCTTAGAAATTAGTTCATCCTTCTGTCTCCCTTCAGGCTACGTGGGTGTCTTGAAGTCCCAGTCGTGCCCCTTGAGGTCGACCTCCAACCTCTCCGGAGAGTGAGGATGAGAGATAAGGTCTTGTATAGAAGGCCACGAGCCGCGGCCCCTCTGAGACTATTAGCAGCGGTGCGTTGTGTTCCAGGTGACTTATGTCTATTATGGAGGAGGTCACGGTCAGGTGTGTGTGTGTGTGTGTGTGTGTGTGTTATGTACGTCACAGAGGCTCAGACCCGGTAGCCCATTAGCCCTGGTTCCATTAACCCCCTGTCGAAATGGTTAGGTTAATTTGGAGTTTGTTTACATCTGCGTCACTACACACCCGACGTTTATATTCATAGACAAGTTTAACGCGTCTCTTGGTTACAGAAGAAGAGACTCCAGGTTCATCAACAAGTGCTTCTTAAGGTCGAGTTTTTCACACATAAGTCCCCTCTCCCCCTTCACCCCCTTCATCCCTCAACCCCTTCATCCCTCACCCCTTCACCCCCAACCCTCTCACCCCCTCACCCCCCCTCACCCCCCCGGCGTGATAGCGTCCTAATGGTGCACTCTAAAATATTTAACTCTCACCCCTTCACCCCCAACCCTCTCACCCCCTCACCCCCCCTCACCCCCCCGGCGTGATAGCGTCCTAATGGTGCACTCTAAAATATTTAACTCTTAAAGCGAAGGACCAGCTGGACGAAGGCATCTGGACACATCACAACACCTCTCAGCCTCGCCCACAACACCGTCAGCCTCTCCCACACCCCGTCGGCCTACACCCCCGTCAGCCTCTCACACCCCCCCCCGTCAGCCTACACATCCCCGTCAGCCTACACACACCCCGTCAGCCTACACACACCACTTGCAGATCTTTGTCGCTTACAGGAACACAGGCACCAGATGTGTACAGTCCTGTCGTCAGAAAGCAGTTTGCGTGAGGCGTAGTTGTATATATATATATATATATATATATATATATATATATATCTCTCTCTCTGGCATTATCTAACCCTTATCGTTAATGGCTGAGTACTTTTAGAGGCTGACCGACTTCTGTTATTCCTCCGTCGTGGAAATTCGTATGGATGAATAATTCTTCTTCTTTAACGGACAGAATTTATAGGAATTAAATTCTTTCTTTACCTCAACGGTCAGTCAGAGTAAACAAGACTGTAACCTGCCCGCAAACACGTGGGTTTTTTGGATGGGAGGGGTGGGGTGGGATGATGGGGGAGGGGGTAATGATAGGGGGGGGGGGGCCTCAGGTATTAATTAAAAGATCTGCAGAATGAGACGTAAAAGTAAGAGCCAGTCATTTAAGTTACATACATACATACATACATACATACATACATACATACATACATACATACATACATACATACATACATACATACATATATTAATCATTTTCATTTTTTTATTTTCTTCTGTGTTTCTTTCTCCCTCACAGAACACATAGTGAGGGTGGGGATAAAGTCGGCCGTGGGCGTGGTGGTGCTTCCTCCCGCCCACGCCGCCCACCTCCACGCCCCTTACGGGTACACCCTCACCCTCACCCCACTCCTAGCCTCACCTCACGCCATCCAGGGGGTCACCTACACGCCCCTCAGTGACGGGGTAGGGGTGTCACCACGCCCTCACCAGGATCCCCACGCCTTGTCCTCCACGCCCCCTAGTGGTGATGGGACGGCGCGGGGGAGGATGAGAAGGTCCTTGGTGAGGAGTCTCCTTCCTCAGCGCCAGTTGGAGGAGGAGGAGGTGGAGGAGGAGGAGGAGGAGGTAGAGGAGGAGGAGGAGGAGGAAGACGGCTGCTCCTCGACCTATGTGGAGATCACTGACTCCCTCTCAACCTGGGTCACCTGCGCCTCCAAGCATGGTACGTGTGTCTGTCTGTCTGTCTGTCTGTTTGTCTGTCTATCTGTCTATCTGTCTGTCTGTCGGTCTGTGTTGGGTGATGGTAGACTCTGTCATTCTACATAACTCCGTCACACACACACACACACACACACACACACACACACACACACACACACACACACACACACTTCCTCACCGCCACAAACTAAGATTTAATGTGGCCTCACCAATGCCCTGACTTCACGCACCATTTTCTCCAGAACTCCCGGAAAACCTTTTGTATTTCTAGTAAAGTTCCGGTACAGTGTCTAGTAGTTGGGTTCCAGTACAGTGTCTTGTAAGTTGGGTTCCCGGTACAGTGTCTTATGTAAGTTGGGTTCCCAGTACAGTGTCTTGTAAGTTGGGTTCCCAGTACAGTGTCTTATAAGTTGGGTTCCCGGTACAGTGTCTTATAAGTTGGGTTCCCGGTACAGTGTGTCTTGTAAAAGTTGGGTTCCAGTACAGTGTCTTGTAGTCGGTTTCCGGTAATGGTGTGGTACTGTGGTGTTGTGGTAGTGTAGTGGTGGTGTGGTAGTACTGTGGTGTTGTGGTAGTGTAGTGGTGGTTTGGTGCTGTGGTGCTCCCTCTACCACAGCAAAGTCGTCAAAATACCTTATCCGTGTTACTCTTGGACCCTCCTCCTCCTCCCCTCCTCCCTACCCCCTCCTCCTACCCCGCTCCCTCCTACCCCTCCCTCTCCTCTCTCACTACCCCACTACTTCTCATCTAGTTCTCCCTCACCCACCTTCTCATCGTGTGTGTGTGTGAGAGGAGCATTCCCCTCCTCTTGTCGTGTCTACTTCCAATTAACCTGATACTATACGCCACTTTGTTTACATTCCCTGTGTGACGTCATCAACAATCTAGTGACGTCATTAACAATCCCCACGTGACGTCATGAACCACACCTGCGTTAATTAAGGTATCCAGGAAGCCGACCACTGTGTATATTATGTGGATAATGCTCGGTGGATTAGGTGGATAATGCTCGGTGGATTAGGTGGATAATGCTCGGTGGACAGAGAGAATAGACTACTCACACCCTTATGCTCGGGGACCTGAATCATTAACCTGTCTACCCACACGGTGTCGGGCAGGACGGGACGGGGCGGGGCGGGGCGGGGCGGGGCAGAGGCAGCGAGGCAGGAGCTTTAGTGGTATATCACGCGATGGTTATGTTAGGTGGGCGTTTTATCAGTATAATATTGGGGCAGAACTCTCACTACATGGTGTTGTATTTACACATGAACGTGCGTACAAGGTGTCGAGTTATTAGGAACCCCCAAAACGTACATTATGTGTGTGTGTGTGTGTGTGTGTGTGTGTGTTTTTCAATGGACAGCAGTCATGGCGACCTGTGGGGTAATGGTCAGCATGCTCGCCTCTCAAGCGAGTGGACCCGGGTTCGATCCCCAGGCAGGGTGAAACTATGGGCAAGTTTCTTTACGCCATTTGCCTCTGTCTACCCAGCAGTAATTGGGGACCTGGATGTTAATAGATTTGTGGATCGTGTTCCGGGGTAATGGTTAGCCTGTGCAGTTGGCGAGTTGTCCGGTCTTCTCGGACTATTCTTTGACACTGGAAGGTGTGCTGGTGATAGAGTGTGTCCTGGAAGGTGTGATGGTGATAGAGTGTGTCCTGGAAGGTGTGCTGGTGATAGAGTGTGTCCTGGAAGGTGTGATGGTGATAGAGTGTGTCCTGGAAGGTGTGATGGTGACAGAGTGTGTCCTGGAAGGTGTGATGGTGATAGTGTGTGTCCTGGAAGGTGTGATGGTGATAGTGTGTGTCCTGGAAGGTGTGATGGTGATAGTGTGTGTCCTGGAAGGTGTGATGGTGATAGTGTGTGTCTGGAAGGTGGTGTGGTGATAGAGTGTGTCCTGGAAGGTGGTGATGGTGATAGAGTGTGTCCTGGAAGGTGTGCTGGTGATAGTGTGTGTCCTGGAAGGTGTGCTGGTGATAGGGTGTGTCCTGGAAGGTGTGATGGTGATAGAGTGTGTCCTGGAAGGTGTGATGGTGATAGAGTGTGTCCTGGAAGGTGTGATGGTGATAGAGTGTGTCCTGGAAGGTGTGATGGTGATAGAGTCTGTCCTGGAAGGTGTGCTGGTGATAGTGTGTGTCCTGGAAGATGTGATGGTGACAGAGTGTGTCCTGGAAGGTGTGATGGTGATAGTGTGTGTCCTGGAAGGTGTGATGGTGATAGAGTGTGTCCTGGAAGGTGTGATGGTGATAGTCTGTCCTGGAAGGGGTGTTGGTGATAGAGTGTGTCCTGGAAGGGGGTGATATAGAGGGTACCACCACCACCACCACCATTTTGTCTGGTGTGATTGTGAAATGATTAAAGACTGAGGACTAAAGAGAAGTGGATATACACGCACACACACACACACACACACACACACACACACACACACACAAAATGCAACTGAACGAGACTTTTAAAAAACATCTTTTATCTAAGTTTGTCCCGGGCACCAACTCCCATCACAGACCATCGCTCGCTGTAAGTTTCAAAGCTCAGATTACTTAAAGTTTCGTACAGTAATAAATCCTAAATAAAGGGGCGTGATAATGGCGCCTGAAACAAATTGAGACTCTACTTGGGTGCCATTATTTAACATGGGGCAAAATTTATGGAGGGAATTTTAACACAATACCGAGGTTCTTATGTTAAATTGTCCTGTTAACTAAATGATTTAAGAGCTCTTTTAATCTTGTCATTTTAACTATTACGTAAAGGAAAATTTACCGTCAAGTTTTACCGTCTAGTTTTACCGTCAATTTTACCGTCAAGTTTTACCGTCAATTTTACCGTCTAGTTTTACCGTCAAGTTTTACCGTCAAGTTTTACCGTCAAGTTTTACCGTCAAGTTTTACCGTCAAGTTTGAATGACTCGAGAAAATATGTTAGCGGATGTAATGGCGGCGACAATGAACCTAGTCTTGAGCGGTAAGATACGTCCCTCTTATGTTGCGGTCGGGAAAGAGTGTAGAGGTGGTGATCTGCAGGGATGGGTAGGAGTGAGGGATAGGTGGTCGGAGGAAGGGGTGAGAGTAGGAATAGAGTGGGGAGGATGTGGGAGGGAGGGGGGTGATGTGTCCTTGGTCTGGTATTAACTCTTTGTTTTTTGCCCCCAGAGCGGATATGTCGTGACGGTGTACCATTGCTATTTATGACTAAAGAGTTGAAGTAGCCAGGCATAAACCACAACCTAACCTAACCTGATCTAACTAACCTAACCCCATACGCTAGTCTCCACTACACATGCGCCTGTGCCACCACCATAACTCTCATCCAACAATAAATTAGGAACAAGAGCTGAATCTGGGTGAATCTGGGGTGAATCTGAGGGAATCTGGGGTGAATCTGGGGTGAATCAGGGGTGAATCTGGGGTGAATCTAGGTTGAATCAAGGAATAGAATCTGGGGTTAATCTGGGGTGAATCTGGGGGTGAATCTGGGGGGTGAATCTAGAGAGGTGAATCTTAGAGGTGAATCTGGGGTGAGATCTGGGGGTGAATCTGGGGTGAGATCTGGGATGAATCTTGGGGGAGGGACTCTGGGGCGACGTGTAAGATAGAAAACAAAAGCATGAGAATCTTTTTCCGTTTGGGTTCTTGAGTCTAGGCTTGGGGCTGACAGGTCATCCATCTGTCAGTCTACACACACACACACACACACACACGTACACACACACATGCACACACACACACACACACACACACACACACGCACGTACAAAAGCATGCAGTAAATCTTTCTGGTCGTTGGCTAAAGCAATTTATTACAGCATCCTTCTCCTTCTCCCTCCTCCCTACTTCCTCCCCTCTCTCCCCTCCTCTCCCTACCTCCTCCTCCCCCCCCTCTCTACCACCCCTTCTCCCCCCTCCCTCTCTATATTACTACACCATCTTTGTTTAGCATTTTATTCTCGCACGAGTTTTATCAATGTTTCCACTGTCTCTTTTTGTTGTATTATTGTATTTATCTAATGAATGGGACTATTATTACTATCATTACCATACTCTACCACACTACCACATTCTACCACCACACTCTACCACATTCCATCACAGACTACCACACACCACCACAAACTACCACACACCACATCACACCACCACACAACACCACAAATTGTCATCACTACCACACAACTCTGGATTTGGGCAGAACTTGTTAAACGTAATTACACTCTGTTACCTGAAGCTGTACCTGCGTGTACCTGGGGTAACTTTGGTCCCTGGTGAGCTGGAGATGGTCAGTGGGAACTCTTCTTGGAGACAGACAGACAGACAGACGGATAGACAGAGAGGCAGACAGGCAAACAGACAGATATATAATAGATAGAAAACAGAGAGAGAGATTTAGGACCGAGTTTACATACATTACACTGGGATGGACGGAAGGAAGGATACCACCCCGAGCCATAAAAGGATATAGGATGAATCACTCCTATAATACGTGAAGGACTCTCGACCACAAGGAAGATAAAGGATCATAGGACCTCTTAACCCCCCCCTCCCCCTCCCCCCCAAGTCTCGTCCTCACCTCTAATTGGCTACGCCTCCATGAGTTCCTTTGTCTTGTAGGAGATGACAAGTGGCGGGGGTCTTGTTTATAATAATGTGTATGAATGATGTACACACACACACACACACACACACACACACACACAAAGAGACAGACAGATAGACGGAGAGAAAGAGACAGAGATCGACAGACCCCAGTATGCTCCACACGTATCATTGACTGACAGATCCTGAGAGAAGGTAACGGTGTGTGGGCCAGGTAGGCAGGCAGGTACGTTTCCACATTTCCATTTACGAGGAAAAAAAAAAACTACAACTCACGAACCTTTGAAAATCCTGACTGTTATCCTTTGATCCTTGAGGACTTGTGGAAGGATCAGTCAGGCTTGGTTTGTTTCCTCTTAGTTAATTGTATATATATCTTGTTTCTTCCTTCTTCAGGGACACCCAGCGCTTCGTCAGATAGTGTGGTTGGGGTGCGTGCTGGCGAGGGGCCCATCGGCGTCCGGGTGGAGTCGACGGGCGTGGAGGAAGAGTCGCAGGTGTGTGGGTGGGGTTGGGTGGGAGAAGACAGCCGGTGTTTCCAGCTGGTGGAGGAGAAGACCAGCTGGGGAGATGCAGAGAGGTTATGTGTCAACCGAGGAGGACATCTAGCAGCTGTTACCAGTCCCAAGGTGTCTGCCCTCCTCACACTCATCACTGCCCACAGGTGAGTCTTATTACCTGAGTCCTTCTCGCTCTTTCAGGTAGTGTCCGAGGTATAGGTGCGTCTCTCCCCCTCAATTAGTTACCTCAGGTGTCACTCAGGTATTCTTATAAACTAATTACTCATCTGAAAAATATAGTCTACTAGGTAATGGTATAGATTTACCTGCCCGGGGAAGCTAATTATCCCACCAGTGTTGAGGGACCGTGTATACAATGTATTCGCCATGTATACAATGTATTCATTATATATTCAATGTATTCGCCACGTATGCAATGTATTCGCCACGTATTCAGTGTATTCGCCATGACAACACCAAGATCACAGCTCCTGGATTAAGCTAAGTCCTCCCTTCAGTGTCGTCTGCTAACACTATTGTTCTCAGCTCAGTAATGTCTATCTGTCTGTCTGTCCATCTGTCTGTTAGTCTATCGTCCTCGTTCTCTTATAATTTGTATATTTCTGTGTTTCTCAGTCTGTTTATCTGATGATTTCTCTGTCTTTGTCTTTCGTTATGTCCCTCTGTCGCTTTTTCTATCCACATACATAAGGAATTTAAACCAACGTATCTAGCTGTCGAAATTTTCAACCCCATTCCTTTGTATATCCTATAAAAAAATGTTTTACCCAGGACGTGATGCGGGCAATACCTCACTCTCCCTGTGTGTGTCCTGGGAATAAAATGGTGGAACCCTCCTGTGATATAGGAATTAGTCTCACTATGGTCTTGTGTATCCTGGGAGAAAAATGGTGGAACCCTCCTGCGAGATAGGAATTAGTCTCACTATGGTCTTGTGTATCCTGGGAGAAAAATGGTGGAACCCTCCTGCGATATAGGAATTAGTCTCACTATGGTCTTGTGTATCCTGGGAGAAAAATGGTGGAACCCTCCTGTGATATAGGAATTAGTCTCACTATGGTCTTGTGTATCCTGGGAGAAAAACTACTAATGGGTATGGGTGGATATTGTCTCTCTCTCTTCACGGAGTTTATTTACAATTAATGGCGCGCTGTGCCCTACACTCACCCTTACCTTATGCTGGGAAATGGACTAAACAACGAAAACTAAAAATAAAATAAGACTAAACAACGAAAACTAAAAAGCAAAAGACTAAACAGCGAAAACTAAAAGAAAAGAACAAGACTAAACAGCGAAAACTATTACCCCAACGACCTAACTTACTCTCCCTGGGCTTTTCTTGCGAGTTAGCGGCTCCATCGTTAACATTACCGCTGTTTTTGGTAATTTTTTTTTGTTCCCTTGTATTTGTTATTATTAAGTCGAGGCTTCGTTTATGTAATATTGTCATCAAGTATTTGTTAGTCTGTTGTTGTTGTTAATCTCAGTCGAGTTTGTCTTAGGTGAGGTGAGTAGGTGGATGTTTTGGGAGAGTTTGTTTGTTTGTTTTTGTTTGTTTGTGTTTTTGTTTGTTTGTGGATGTTTGATTGTTTGTGTTTTTGTTTGTTTCCAGGAAAGTATAAAGTTATTGAGGGGGGATAGAGATGTTTGTGTATACTCTCTCTCTCTCTCTCTCTCTCTCTCTCTCTCTCTCTCTCTCAGCTTTAAACATGACATGAACATTTGGTGAACATAAATCTTAAAAACAAAAAATTAACTGGCAACATATACTGAACATTTAAACTGCCTGAGTTGAACAGCTGGTGAATTTATCTTAAAAAGGTTAGGTTAGGGTGGTTAGGTTAGGTTAGGTCAGGTCAGGTCAGGTTAGGTTAGCTTTTGGTTAGGTTATGTTAGGTCAGGTTAGGCTAGGTTAGCTTTTGGTTAGGTTATGTTAGGTCAGGTCAGGTTAGGTTAGGCTAGGTTAGCTTTTGGTTAGGTTATGTTAGGTCATGTCTGGTCAGGTCAGGTTAGGTCAGGTTAGGTCAGGGTGGTTAATCTTCAGGTGAGTCCCTCCCTACTACCAACATATGAACTCTACACAAACAGCTGAGGAATAAAACATGTTCAAAAAAGTAACACTGAACTCACGGCTTTGAACAAACTTTAAGCTTCAATCGAACAAATAGTGAATATAACTTGTAAAAGAGTTGAACAAACATGGATATTGGCGTCAACAGTGGCTGAACATTGGCTGAACATGAGGTGAACACTAGCTGAACATGAAGTTAACACTAGCTGAACATGGGGGTGAACACTGACTGAACATGGGAGTGAACACTAGCTGAACATGAGGTGAACACTAGCTGAACATGGGGGTGAACACTAACTGAACATGGGGGTGAACACTAGCTGAACATGGGGTGAACACTGACTGAACACTGACTGAACATCGGGTGAACACTGACTGAACATGGGGTGAACATAGCTCCAACACCATTAACCAAGGCATGTTATTATTTCCCCAGGTTAAAGTCGATCATTTAACCTATAGGGTAAAGGTGATGACGTCAGAGGATGTAGTTTAGTCCTTAACCCCTTGAGTACTGTGACTTAACCCCTTATCGTACTCAAGGGGTTAACGTCACACTAGCCTTAACATCAGACTAAGCGCTGAACCATAACCTAACCCCGTCCACCCCCTACCTCCCTCCCCTACCTCCCTCCCCTTCCCTCTTCTCATCCCCCCCCCATAAAAACAGACTCCTTTCCTCCACCGCCCCCTCACCCCCTCAGCTTTACACATGGGTGATATACATAGTTTTTATGTTATTGGATTTTCACCCAAAATTTCAGAAAGAATTCGGCCAAATATAGTTATACCCGTGGCCATTGAGGTTGTTAGTGTGCTGGGTTGTGGATCCACTGGTGTAGAACATGCACAAAGCCCTTCACTAGTGCGTTTACAGGGGCTCGTTATATAGCCTAGGTACACAGTCCCCATCACTAGTGCGTTTTACAGGGGCTCAAGTTATATAGCCCAGGCAATCCCATCACTAGTGCGTTTACAGGGGCTCATAATATAGCCTAGGTACAGTCCCTCATCACTAGTGCGTTTACAGTGGCTCATTATATAGCCTAGGTACAGTCCCCATCACTAGTGCGTTTACAGGGGCTCATTATATAGCCTAGTAACAGTCCCCATCACTAGTGCGTTTACAGGCTCGTTATATAGCTCTAGGTACAGTCCCCATCACTAGTTCGTTTACAGGGCTCAGCTGAGAGTAGCCTAGGTACAATCCCCATCACTAGTGCGTTTACAGGGGCTCATTATATAGCCTAGGTACAGTCCCCATCACTAGTTCGTTTACAGGGGCTCGTTATATAGCCTAGGTACAGTCCCCATCACTAGTTCGTTTACAGGGGCACATTATATAGCCTAGGTACAGTCCCCATCACTAGTGCGTTTACAGGGGCACATTATATAGCCTAGGTACAGTCCCCATCACTAGTTCGTTTACAGGGCCTCGTCAGGTTTTGTGCAGTGTGGCAGCACTGTTTGTTTACATTCGACAGAAGGAAACTCACAATAGTAAACACACTATGGAATGAACGTAAAACAATATCAAAACAAATATCTTAATGTAATGATTTATGGAATGTTTATATAATGAGCCCCTGTAAATGTACTAGTGAAGGGGACTATACCTCGTTTACTCTTGGGTTACAGTCGCCTCCATTTTGACCTGGTACAGTGTCTGGTATGTTTTGTAAGATGTGGCAACTCTGTGTTTGTTTATCTAGCATCCTAACTCTGGCTACTCTTGTGAGGTTTCTTGGAGACCATTCCGGGAGTTTTAATACGATGTAAACACACACAGTTATGCCACATCTCACACCAGCCACTGTACTAGGTATAAATGGAAGCGAATATACCATTATACCTGGTTTATAATACAATATTTCTGGATTAATATGATCTACGTAGGTTAATTAGTCTACCTGATTTAACATAATTTACCTGGTCTGATATGGTAATGTATTCTGTGGTGAGTTTAGTAGTGTTTTAGAAGGTTAATTTAGGGAATGGATTTTTGTGGGAGATTTGCATAATATTGGAGGGTGAGGATGTTTGAGCGGTGGGTGGATGAGGTGGATGATTGGGTGTGGTGGGTGAGGTTGATGATGGGCTGTGGTGGATGAGGTGGATGGATGGAAGGTGGCCTATTGTGAATGGGGTGGATGATAGCATATGGTGGGTAAGATGGATGGTAGTGGATAGGTGGAAGGTTGACTGTTGTGGATGATATGGATGATGGGACTGTGGTGGATGAGGTGGATTGTAGTGGATGATGGAGTGTAATGAATGAGATGGATGATGGGGCTGTGGTGGATAGGTGGATTGCAGTGGATGATGAGGCCGTGGTGGATGATGGAGTGTAGTGGATGATAGGGCTGTGGTGTGTTAGGTGGATTGTAGTGGATGAGGTGGATGATGGATGGTAAAGAATAAGTGGATGGTGGGTTGTAGTGGATGGGTGTAAGGTTGACAAGGTGAATGATGTAGAATGGAGTGGATGAGATGGATGTAACGAGTTCATATGGTGGATGTAAGTACAATACTCGTAAGAGCGAGAGACAGGCAGGGTTAGATTATAGTTAGCAATAAGTCGTCACTGCCAAAAACATTAACAGGGATAAAAACACAAACATATGAGAGATGACTGCCTGTACCACCAGACAAAGGACTTCTGTGTGTGTGTCAGGGGGAGGGGAAGAAGAGAAGGGAGAGGAGGAATTAAGAGGAAGTGAGGGGAAGAGATAGAAGGAGGAGTAGGAGGGAACAAGAGGAGTAAGGAAAGAGGAAAAAGAAGGAGGAGGAAGAAGAAGGGCCGTGTGATGAATGTGCTGTACTTGATGTTAACAGATAGAGCCTCTCCCCCACACCCAGAACTCTATAGGGAAATATAATAGTGATGCATTGAGCCGCCATGTTGTGTACCTCGTAACAACAATAACAACAATAACAACAATAATAACAATAATAACAACAATAACAACAATAATAATAACAACAACAACAATAACAGTAATAGCAACAATAATAATAACACCAATAACAATAACAATAATAACAATAGTAACAGTAATAACAATAACAACA